TCGTTTCCCCTCTTCGTTTTCCATGAGAGTCTCCATAATTTCTTCTTCTTTTTTTGATTAGTGGGTCCTACATTTTTAGATATTTACACATTTTTCCCCCACAATCCCATAAACTCAATCGCAGCCCCCTTGAAGAAATAGCTTATATTTTTTATCACCCGGACATGATCGGGTAGAATTGGAGAATTACAGGGACAACGATTTACCATATTTGATTCTCGAGGTGCATAAATGATCAATGGATTTTTGTCTACAAGCATTAACAAAATTGTAGAACAAAAACTTGCGCATCGCGTGAGCCATATTCTAGTTATAAAGATGGCATTTGTCGAAATTTCACCAGAATTGGTTGTCATAAGGATAGTCGACCATTGACCAACATATACATAATTCTACCACGCATAACTTGATATACATCATTTTATCAAGTCTAAATTTAGCCACTTCAATTTTCTTTGAAATTTCTTCAAAATTTACAAAAAGAAGAAAAAAAATGAATCTCAACTAAAACAACTATATTCTGGCAAAAATCGACACCATTACCATAGTGAACTTTACTAATAAGAAACTCGAGTTCAATTCGATTTCTACATTTTAATAAACAACAAATCAAAACACCTAAAAATCGAATTAGCTAGCTTTAGTTCACATGATCAAGGTAAACTCAAAAATTCGATTCAATACTTACTTGTAATTCAGACCATATTAATTACCATCATCACCAGTCATAAGACACCAAAATAATTTTCAAAAACCCACATTGACTTTATTTATACCATAGATTTTGAGTTTTACAAAGTTTCCATCCAAATTTATCCTTAGAAATGAAATGATATTGAAACTCCAATTCAATTAACTTATGAATGAATATCTTTAACTATATTTAAAAGAAAACATGATCTATATAGCCACAAAAAGCCTTATGCCATAACATGTGCATTATTCCTTATGTTAGAAAACTAAACTACATGAAGATTAGATATTTGAATAAGTTTGAATAATGCAACTTTTTCTCTGTTTCAAAATCCGATGGATTCAGCAGAGTAAACAACATCACATGATTTGGTTTCAAGATCATACGTCCAGTGTTCGCATAAACCGAATACCGCAAAACAACAACTTTTTTTTCTCCAAAAGTGCTAGTGGCAAGGGCGCTAAGTATACCCCAAACGACGAAGAAGTTAAATCCAGAGCTATGGAACACATTTTTACCCATGTCTTGTTGCTTGAATCAAAGGACCATATCACTTGGTTCTGCTCCTTACTCTGGCATACACACAGGCGATTGTCGAGGTTGCACATGATGATATGGTGAGGTTTTGCATTGAGAAAAGGAGTTTCACAAAGTAATTGGAAAGTTTCGATATGAAGATCGAAAGACACAACTTTGGTTTCTTTGCATGGTTATAGGATCCGAAATATACAACTTCAGTGTCTCTGCAATGATCTTTGGATATTCGATTCCTATATATCCCAACAAGAAGCTTGATCAACGATATGAATATGCTTTTCAGTGCTTCAAATCTCATTGATAAGCTATTATTGTTTCAAAATACTCCTCAACATAAACATGAACAAGAATTATAAAGATGGCATCTACTATTGAAATTTCACCAAGAAATCAGGATAGTGTTAGCAACATTTGCAAGGATTCCACCACGCCTAATGACCTCAAGAGTTATATACACGAAAAATCATGTGTCCTTTAAGTTAGAGCTTATACAACGACCTCAAAGGAATTACAAGCTTCGCATGTTATGTACAACGCCTTTAAATTAAAGTGACTCTGAACACTGAACTCGGGTTTCAATCTGCATCCTCTCTCGAGATGTTCAGAGTGCGCTTCTGCTAATCGTTCTTGCAGAATGTTCAGATTAACCTGATGAAAAAGAATGGACAAAACGCAACGAAAAGTTCAGTGCGTGGCTGAGAGTTACAAAGAGAGAGCTTAAGGACAAAGAATCTGGCACCTCTTCGCCTTTGTTCAGTTGCAGTTCGCACATGTTACAGTAGATATATCGGTGATTCTCCATAAGCTCTCCTTGCTTGCATATCGGACACCATATCTGGTTTCGCTCCTGACAAACACATCAGACCAGTTAACTAGTTTCTCAGGTTTGAGAAGACAAGGATACTCTGCGAAGAGAAACATACCTGTTCACTGTTTAAAAGCATATTCTGAGAAACTAAGGAGGCCAAGTACTCATCTTCCTTGTCTTCCCATGCTTCGATCTCAACATATGGTCCTGGAAGAATAAGTAAGTACCCACAGGGCATCAGAAACTCATCGTCAAAATCGGATTCCTTATCATGGATATCTCATCAAGGGTTTTACCGTCTACGGTAGTCTCTGATAATAAATCCTTGTAGAACATCTGTTGCATTTCTAACAATATCTCTTCACTATCACCTTCATAATCATATTTTACACCTTCATATTCCCATAATATATCGTCAGAATCAGGCGTTACAGAGAAGTTTCTCGACGAATCTTCGATCTTCTTTAACTCATCAGAAACAATGTCCTGGAAAGCAGAATTGATAATCGCCTGAAACATAAAACGCTAAAGTCATTGAGACAAAGCTAAACAACTTTCTTTATTGGGATTGTAAGAAGAGAAAACAGACCTTTTGATCTGAAGATTGACAATCAGAGAGCCTCAATTTCCACAGTATACGAGTCCTATCTGCTCTAACTCTTCTCAAACAACTTTCTCTGAGCTACATTTCAACAATAATCATAACACACAAAAAAACACCCAAATTTTCAGAAAACATTACATGAAAGATAGTTAATTTAATATAAAAAAACCATCTTTTGATCAATATAATGTAAGAAGAAGCTACGACCACAATTGAGATTCAGAAACCAAATAAGACCACTGTAACTAATGTGTAACGAAACAAAATTGAATTTTTTTTCTTCTAAAACCCAATTCAGAAGTATTAACATATCACACCGATTCAGGTTATTATTGATATATATAACACAGAAATTGAATGGAGAATCGAAAAAGGATTAACCTTTTGCTTTCTCATAGATTCGGTTTCGGATTGGGATTTGATATCGACTCGTTTATGAATTGTCGAAGCTGGTTTTGACAATTTCTCATCTTTCTCATACTTTCCCTCCATCGATGAACAAAGAAATTTTTGGAGTTTACGAGATTGCAGGTTTTAATTCTAAAGAGAACAAAGCAAATCCGGTTCAATTTTTTAATAACCGGATTTAACCGGCCGAGTGATTTTTTCCAGCGAAACCCTAATTAGTCTTACTCTAAAACGTCGTCGTGTTGTGAACAGAGATATTTTTAGCTATCAAGTGAACAAAAAAAAAGAGTGTAAAAAATGAAAATAAAAATATCCGTAACTAAAACCCCAGAGTCAGAGAAAGAAGGGAAGATGATAAAAAACCCAAAACCCTACTCTCTTCCTGTAAAATCCTACTACTC